ATTTTGGAGAATTGGCATTAGAAGAAGTTTAAGTTTAAAAAAATTTGGCTCTCCAAAGAAATTTCAATCGTTGTTCTGTTGATATTTGGCTCTGTTGACTAATGAGTTTGCCGACCACTGCTCTAGCGTATGGGTGAATATTTCCTCACAAATGTAAGTAGGTCTTTGACTTCCTTTACTTGGGGCTTTATTGGTGGTGAGAATATTAAAGCATGAGCTGCCTTTCTTAACCACTCCTTCATGAAACATACTTGCCTTGGACACAACCTTCTGTCCAGAGCTTTGCTCTAAGGTTTGTGTCTCCCTGTTCTCACTCATTTTATTTCTCCCACATGGGTTGTCTTTCCTTTAACTATCTAAACCAAGTGCATCTTTGAAGAAGTCCTATCATTCCTACAAAGTCCTCTTTAGTGACTCCAGGTCCCATGGACACCCTTTTTCTTGGAATTTTGTATTTCTGAGATCAATGTTGTCATTAAATGATCACCTCCTTGAGGGCAGAGACAATGTTCATCTCTATTCCTAACAAAGAGAACCGTTTGGAAAAATAAGAAACAAAACTAGCTATCTGATTGTACAGACAAATCTATAGATCTGTAGGCAAACTAGGCATTAGCAGATTTTAAAATGTATTTCTTAGTTTGTGATTCATTTTATTCATTCATTCATTTAGCAGATACTTATGGACATCCTTTAAGTTTAGATAGTTTGTGAAATATGAAGATGAAATAGACTTACCCTCAAGGATTTTTCCATGTAGGTTGTTTATTAAGAATTATGTGATGAATAAAAGCCTAAAGCCTCTACATGGGGGACCAGGACTCAGAGGCTCCAAAGGTGTGGTCAGACTACAGGCATCAAAGATCACCTAAGAAATGAGAATCTCAAATAAATAAATTTTAAGGTAAGCTCCCAGATAATTCTTCTCTTTACCAAAGAGGGTGTGGTTTATCCTTCCTGGCTCCGGAGTAAACATTTGGCCTCCTGACTGGAGCATTGGTGTCTTTTCAGGAATGTAGAAACTGCTCTTCCTGACTTCTGGATTCAGACAGCCAGTTGTAACTGGTGGAGTCTCATTGTACAGCCATGTTGAGTTTACTTTTCTTTTCTGGCAAGGTTCTACCTTTATCAATATCAATCTGTAATATTCTTGAGAAAGTTCATTCTCTTGTTTTGCAAGTCAGAGAACAACCACATGCATACAAATTAGTCTATTATTCTGCAAGGAAAAAAATTGTCACTTATAGTGTTGCTCCAGGGCTCAAATAAGTTGCAGAAGCTTTAGTCAACTCCATTGCTTATCTCATCATTTTAACTTTTATAATTAATTACCACAGTACTTTCACGTCCGTTATTGCAATTGAGAGCCTGTAGTATGGACTTGAACCAGATGCTCCTTGATGAGGGCATGTAGGCAATTGTGTGGATTTGCTGTTTATTGGCCATAAAACAGTCTTTTGTTTTCTTGCCGGATCCAGATGCGACAGTCCTGACAATGGCCGTTCCAGTTGTACTATTTCATCCAGCTCCTTCTGGAAAATTACATTTTCCAGATGTAATTTCTAAAACATAAACTAGTCACCTCAGGTTGGATTGATGATGAACGTGCTTGGTGTCCAAGAATGTAAATAGGCCCAACAGCACTGTATGCAAACACGCAAAGCCATTCCTTTCTCAAACGATTATTTGGTCATTAAAATTAGAATCATATAGGTCTCGTTCACATCAGCATGGTCCATTTGGTGCTAACCATCTCAGTAACAAAACTGTTCCCCAATGTGCAACTCTTGTAAATGGGGTTTTCTGCTGAGTGATTTGAGATTATACTTATAGACCAAGCATTTGAACAAAAATATTACAGGGTGTCACCTGACCTTTTCCCTCCATGTTATTAATGAAGTTATAAATTAAATGAATCAATGTAACTGGTTATAGTTCATAAAATAGAATTGCAAAGCTTAAAATGATTTTTATATTAAAAGTCATCCTAAGTTATTTCTAAACGGACTTTTGATAATTGTTTCTTTAAAACATGGCATCTCCAATTCATAGTCTAAACATTGCCAAGCAGTTATCTTGAAATGGTATTGTACTGATCTTGTTTGTTGTTGTTTATTTGTTTTTTTTCTTTTTCTTTTTGTTTGATTTTTCATTGTCTGTGAGCTCCTCAAAATTTGGAAAAGCCTTTTCGTTTCTGTAGAGATTTTTCACCCAATGAGTGCTCTTTCATTGGTTCCTCACTGAAACCTCAGAAATACCAAACCTCTTTTTATGGTTGTGTGAGGAAACACCCATATTGAGCAGCTAGCTTCATTCTACATGTGACCCCCACCATAAAAATGGGGACATAAGTTAAATAGAGATTTTAGAGGCATCAGTTTTTCCATAATTTAAACATGATTTTTTGAAAGCACGAAGGTGCTCAGAACAACAAAATATCTTTTTATAAATAAATATGGTTGAAAGAGTATTTACACTTTTTATATATTTTTTTTTATTGATTTTTTACAGAGAGGAAGAGGGAGGGATAGAAAGCTAGAAACATCAATGAGAGAGAAACATCGACCAGCTGCCTCTTGCACACCCCCTACTGGGGATGTGCCCACAACCAATGTACATGCCCTTGACCGGAATCGAACCTGTGACCTATCAGTACGCAGACCGACGCTCTATCCACTGAGCCAAACTGGTTTCAGCGTATTTACACTTTTACTTAAGACAGTTCATGTTCAAGATTAGCCTTAGCTGAAGTCAGATGAACCTGCCTACTCTTGAGGAAGGTGATGCTTATGGAGGAATAAGATTTGATGGGAGAGGAGGAGAAAGAGAGGGACATATCTAACACACAACTCTGTAAGACATCTTCACGTGTATTACTCTGAAAATGTATTTGCTCAAATAAATCTTGGTTTTGATGGATATTTACATTAGATAACTGAATATAAATAGAAAAATTAATTGCTAGAGGTTTTCACCCTCTGCTTTTTTCAAGGGCAACAAGTGATGCCAAACATTTGAAAAATCTTCCCTTTGCACCTAAGACTGACTGGTTATTTTTGGATGCCCTCTTATTCACATCTACTTTCTTTATTCTTACTCCATTCATTAATGTTCAAGGTAATATTCATAGAATTCACAATCATAGGTAAGCTATTTAAAACCTCTTTTTCCTCTAAAAAGTTAATATTTTCTCCCTTCTGACATATTTTCAAATTTAACATAGTTTAGGATGATGTAATTCTGATTCTTTAAGAGTAGTCTCAAACTCCGTGACTCAGCTTTACTGACAAATTGTCTTACTATTCCAACACGTTCTTCTGGAAATTAAACAAAGCCTTCATTTTATGTTTTGTTATATTCAACTAAGTTTTATGGCTACAGTTTTCCTTTGACTTTGCTAATTGCTTAACTGAAATGGCTCATTTGTTTTGAATATTGTCAAGGTGTCTTGTTCTGTACATTTAGCCTGTTTAGAGTTGAATCTAGTTTAGACTTTTCCTATTTCTTTCCAGCATTTAGAATAGTTGTGCTGACTGAAGCTCTAGAAATACACTCACAACACTGATGGCGAAGTCTTATTTTATTCATGATCTGTGACCTTTACCTAATTACCTCAGGTGCAAGATCTAACCAAGGACACTCAGCAGTTAATGAAATTGGAAGTAATAAATAACTCAAGGAATTTTATTAAGGGGGTTCCTTAATATTATAATATTACTTCACTCGAACAGCAAATTTTAATCTAGTTCTTTAATTGCCATTTGATGGTATATTAAGTTTTTATTCTTTATGGAAATACTTTATGATTTGGCACAGTGTGAGAAAGAATACTTTAAAAAGTTGTATCTCTTCTATGTAAATCCAGGTATCTATTGAACATTGCATGAGAATTCTTAATTTTGTTATGACATTTGTTTTGCAGTGGAAATACTGTATTCTTTTGAACTTCCCATAAGGTCTAAAACTAACAGACTATTAGCAAAAAAAAATTTGTGTTGTTGCTGTTAATCCTCACTTGAGGATTTTTTTTTTTCAAGGAGAGAGAACAAGAGAGAGAGAGACAGAGAGTTGAGAGAGACACAGACTAGTTGCCTCCCATATGAACTCCACCAAGGGTGGGGAGCAAACCCACAATTCAAGTGGGTGCCCTTTACTGGGAATCGAATCTGAGAGAGACCTTTTGGTACATGAGTTGATGCTCTAATCAGTGAGCACACTGGCCAGGGTGCAAATAACTTTGAAAACTTGAAATGGAAAAACTAAGCACATATATTAAATTTCTAAAGGTGAGAAAGGTATACTGTGTTCTGTGTATAACACGTAAGACAAATTGTAAATTTGCATCTGATATTACCATCCTGCAAAGCACACACACACATTATATATATATATATATTTTAATTCTTCAGGGCATCAGGCTAAAATAATTTAATCATCATGCTGGCTTTTAAAAAAGAAAGGAATGGCATTTTCTCTCCCTAGTATCTACACAATTTAGGGAAGCTGCATTGACCCCTGACCCTTGGTGTTATCATCAGAGACTTTACAGCAGTAGTGAGATTGTGATGAAGATAATGTTGGTTAAGGGCCTATCATCATGCCTGAAACATAATTAGAAGCTCAATTATATAAGTTCTTTCCATAATGAAAAAAATTGAATATATTGCAATTCCCTTTGTTAAGCAGTTTATTTACATATGTGTGTCTGTGTTTTTACACACCTGCACATGTGCTCACGTGGTTTGGGGTTGGGTTCCTCTGGTGCTTTCAAGATTAACATTTAATTCAGGATGCAAGTCAGTTAAAATAGGTTTCTTAGTGTCATGCAGATAGATGTTTAGAGAATTTATATAAATACTAGAGGCCCGATACATGAAATTCATGCATGGGTAGGGTCCCTAGGTCTGGCTGGAGATCAGAGCCAATCAGGCCTTATGGCTGCTGGCCAGGGCCTCCCTTCCCTGGTTGCCAGCCACCAGCTGCTGGTTAGGGCCTTTCCTCATTCCATGTGCCTCCTGGTGGTCAATGCATGTCATAGCAAGCAATAGCACTCTTGGTCTCCTGGTCGAACTCCTATGGGAACACTTTGCATATTAGCCTTTTACATATATAGATTTGCTGTATTTGTTTACTGACACAGTGACAGGATATGAATGTCTTCCTGGAGTGGATGAGGCCAATTTTTACAAAAGCCTATCCTGAAATGAGGTTCTGGATGGCAAAGCAGCATTTTAAAAAGTTTCTAAAACAGAATGATGTCTTCTTCATTAAGAAGGTGGGGTGGAATAATTATCAGTAGCAACTGGGTTCCAGAAAAATGCACAAAAAGAGATACAGGTTAGAGAGAGAACATTTTAGCCTATGGGATACTTAGAAGTACCCAGTACTTCTGGCCAAGTCATTAAAAATTAGCTATTACTGTCATCACAAGGGCAGTTTATATACTTGGAGATGGTGATTGGCCAGATCTTAGTAGATGAGTCATTTTGAAAGGGAGTAAAGTAAGACCAGACACTGTCTTCGGAAAATTTACATTCATAGCTCTGTAATAATCACTGATACAGACTAGCAAGTCTAAATCATAGCTATAAAGAGATACTGATTATGAGTTGAAATCAGTTTTAGGTCTATTGAAAATAAAGCCAACAGCATATTGCATTGCTTTGATTTAGACTCTGTAAACAAAATATCACTAGCAATTGAAAAAAGATAAAGAATCTACAAATAACAAGCAGGCAGCAAGGAAAGACAAGTGAAGACAAGTTAAAATCTGTAAGCTATATATAGTGATCAGAGAGGAGTCACACTGACTGACAGAACAGCAAGTGAGCTTTTGAGAAGGTTCCCATCTTTTAAGCTACAGTCAGTGAGAATGATTTATTCCCTGGACATGGCTCAGTACTTTACAAACAATGATACTTACTCAAGGAGGATTTTCTTAAAGTTTCAGAGACAAGTGAAACCTTATTTTGAATACTTGGTCTTACCTTGGCAATGTTTTTCAATATTAATTGTGTGTTCATTTGTATTTCCACAGTTACTCAATTTGAATAATTCTCATGTCTAAGCCATCTCTTAGGAGGCTCAAAGAGTTGATAAGAGATGGACTTATCTAACAATTAAATATACATTTCCTCCTAATTTATAATTTTAACTATTCTGTGGTTTGTTTTACATTACACTTAAAATGATGATTGTCTACTTGGTAAGATATAAAAATCATCTCAAAATTTTATAAGAATCATGACATTTCCTTTTGTATTTGTTTTAGTATAGTGAACATATTTGTCTGAAATCTCATTTTTACTCAATAAATAAAAAATATTTTTTTCTATTTTTTCCTGTAGTCTCAGATATTCATGTCATAGCACTGCACTTTGTTGAAATGCTAAATGCAAACACTTAAGCATTCACAGGCTGCAAAATTACCAAATACAGAGTGAGGCAAAGTAGGCTTACCAGTTGTGAGTATGCAAAACACAGAGTTTATTCTTGTATTATTATTTATGAATTATTGTATTATTTTCCATATGAACAACTGTAAACCTAACTTTGTCCCACCCATATGTAAATACTTCGGTGGGAAGTTGAGAAATCACATTTGATAGAGTTATTATAAATAATGTAAATTGATGTCTAGGTTTTATCTAAACTTCATAGCCCCCAAAATAAAGTGAACTTCTCACATTAAATGCAAAGGGCTATACTCTCAGATTTCACCCTTTGGCTCTTTCACAGATCTGCTTCATTTTTTGTGATATTAGTTTTGTGATACTAGAAGGAAAATGTGAGTCATTCTGTGGGTTAGATTATCTTGGGCCAGGATTTGTTAGAGCGCTGGAAAAGACTGTCTGCTCTGTCTTCACATACAAGTATCAGTCTTTTCCTCTCTTGGGTGGCTAACTGCACAGATTCACTTTATGGTCCATTTTCTTCTATCTCGTGAGTCAGCTTTGGCTAAAGGTTATTTCAGAAGCCAAACAGGTGTCATCAAAAGTCACTTTCGTGGCAGACAAATACGTGTCAGTGACAGTGATATCCTCATGCTCTGTGCTGAAGTGATCTGACTCCTTAATGACACTGTAATTTAGGGCCACACTATAGCTAGCGGGTTTCTCCATTGGCTTCTGCTTACAGTTGCAGAGTTTCCTGAAGGCTGCTCGGAATTTCTGAGACATGAGGTTGTAAATCACTGGGTTGATGGCACTGTTGAGATAAATGCAAATTCTGCAAAAGAGTAAGAACCAATTTTCTTGGAAAGGGCTGGAGAGAAATGAGTTGACAACCACAAGGGTCCGGTAGGGCATCCATAAAAGCGCAAACAGAATTACAACCACTGCCAGCATCTTGGTGACCTGTGGAGAGAGACAGAGAGAGAAATGCCTGTAAACACAAATGGAAACAAAGCAAAGCAAAAGAGTGAAAGCAACGCAACCCCCATCCCAACCTTTAGTTCCCAAGATGTAGTTTGAAACAAGGACTTAAGCATCGGAAGTTTATCTGTGAGAAAGTCCCAGGAAGCCGAATCAAGTGTATGGAGGAGAGTGTCATAGAAGAAGAAAAGCCCAAAGCAAGGGTGTGTTATGGAGAAGGTTCCCATTGTGGGAAACTGGCAATCAAATAGTGCACTCCAGGTTATCTGTCCAGAGGAAGAGAGGACAGGCATTTATCCACTGGCTGCCCTCCCTGCTTTGTTGAGGGATATCTTTAGGGTCTTTAATAACCTTACACTCCAGGATTCTCCTGCCTGGAAACTCCTGGGGGCTTCAGAGAGAACCTTGAGGCAGAGAAGATGATAGACAGGGGACAGTGGGTGCCTGGAGTAGGACATTCTCTCCAGGTAGGACCCATCCTCTGTAGCTGTGGCTGAAACCAGTAACACTAAGAGGATGTGACACAGGGTGCCAAATGCATGTCTTCAACAAACATGAGGAGGCTTGGGGTCTAATCCCATCTTTACTTACCTTATATGTGATCCCAAGAAATGTGCTTAAGCTTATACCTCATCTGTAAAATGGAGCCAGCCCTGCTCCCCTATGTCAAACAAGGTAACATCGTAGCTTGAAAAGGAGAAAGTGTCCTCAGCGAGAAAGCCAATGGTTATAGAATGTCGATGTGACAGACACTATGCTAGGTGCCTGACATATGTGATCTCATTTAAAAATCTTAAGACTCTCTTAAATAGGTATTGCATACTCCATTTTTCCAATTAGAAAAAGGGGGGTACAGATGCTGGTTAGCACTGTGGTGGGAGTTGTAAAGCCTTAGAGCTGGGATTGGGATCCATGTCGGCAGGAATCCAAGGCTTTTGCCCTTCACATGCACAGCTTTCCTCTGCGGTAAAGGGAGAGGGAGTCCAGAGGAAACAAACTCTGGAACTTAGTGTGGTCCTAAGTCCAAGCAGTGCACAGGAGCTAGGATATGAGGGAAGATGAGGTTCAATATCCAAGATTGGCCAGGGACAAGATTATTGAAAGGCATAATTGAGCAAATTCTTCCCTCATTCATCTCTGTGTTCAGTGAAAGGCTGGGAATTGGCCAGGAATCAAAGTTAAATCATCTGGCTTTGATTGTTTAAGTGCTTTTAAGACCTTAATAAAGTCATTCATCTGTACTTCCATTTCTACACCTGGAACTAAGTCTGATTATATCGTTGCTTTTACTTCATACAGGTCTGGAGAAAAATAAAATAATGAATGCGAGAAGAGCTTTGAAACTTTAAAGCGCTATGGAAATTTTACCCTTTTACTAATGGCTGCATAAAGAGACCACAGTGTTTCAACTATAGGAAGGGTGTATTAAAGTTGTAGCAGTGGGGGAGATCATAACTGGCTGCTTTTCTTCAAGAGCGAGACTTTACACATTTAAAAACAAGGTTCTAGCTCTCTTTAGTTTCCCACAGTGTTTGAGCAATTTCAGCTTCCTGAACCCATACTTTCTAAATGTTCTGAATTTGGAAAATACCCAACAACATAGAGAAGGATCTGATTCTTCCTCCTTTTTCCCTCTTGACCTCTCAGCTGATTCACTGAAGCCTCTATTTTGTTCTGACAATGAGGGGAATCCTATTTTTATCAAGGACTTTTAAAAGTTCTTCAATGTAGAAATAAAGATCCCATCTAGACACCTACTCTTTCCTTGGCATCTACTATAAATTCAGCTCCAAACCTGGTACTTACTCCTGGTTGTAGGATCCATTTTCATCTCCTATGTGAGACTTTCTCCCTCTCTCCCCCCGCATTCCTAGTCTTCCGATTGTGGGGCTCTATCTTACCATTGACTGCATCTCTTTCCCCCTACCTAGGAGTTCCCCATGAGTCCTGACTTAGTCCTGACTTGCTGGGTCTATAGTAATTGCCTCCTTCTTGGCTCTCCAAATATCAACTGCTATCAAACTTCTTACCCATGGGTACACATTATCTTTCTCTTTTTAAAAAAAATATATTTCATTGATTTTGTACAGAGAGGAAGGGAGAGAGATAGAGAGTTTAGAAACATCGATGAGAGAGAGTCATCGATCAGCTGCCTCTTGCACACCCCCTACTGAGGATGTGCCCACAACCAAGGTACATGCCCTTGACCAGAATCTAACCCGGGACCTTTCAGTCCCCAAGCCGACGCTCTATCCATTGAGCCAAACCGGTTTCGGCTATCTTTTTCTCTTTTTGAACCCCATCTCTTGAATGATACCTACTACTTTCTTGCAAGGGCACTTTGTGAGCTACCTTCCTGTTCACAAGTTACTGTGTTTTCTCTACTTCCACAGGCTGTTATATCATGTTCTGGAAGTTCCCTGCCCTCCTGTTCATCTCATTTATCGTTTCCTGAGCATCTCTTCCAACTCAGTGCATGTAGAACAGTTACATTTCATATTTTGCTCCCTGGTGGTTGAGCCATTGTTCAGTGGGAAGGTATGGTTTTCACAATGTACCTCTTGAAGCCTGATTTTTCCCAAGCAGAGTTAAGATCATGAGTAAATAAGTGGTCATAGGAAATCAAAAGCTTAATTCAGTGATAAATATTCTGAGCTTTGGAAGGAGCCATAGTAGTTACTACCTTTCTTGTCATAAAATCACTCACATCCCTGCCTTTGTTTCCTGCCCAGCACTCCAGATTTCTGACATCAGGCTACTGCTTCACACTTGCCAACATCCTTCTACTCCTTGCCAAGGATTCTGTAGCCTACATTTGAGTCCTTCATGATGCCCCATCACAAAGATATGTGAACATTATCATATTTAATGCTTATAACTCTATGTGTAAGCTAGTATTGCCTCTATTTTGTGTGTTAAGAAATTGGGTTTTAGGGAGTGTGAGCTGTGTGAAGCAGTGATTTTTAACCCTTTTCATGGCACACATAAACTAATTACTAAAATTCTGCAGCATACCCAAAAATATACTTTTTGCCTATCTAACAAAAAATAGGTATACTTTTGATTCATTTATCAATGGACTGCTATTGTTTTGTTGGCAGTTGCCATCTTTTTATTTGACAAGCTAAGGAATAAAAAGTGATCCTGACTAAAAGTCAGATATTGCATGTTTTAAGAATTTAACTGTATGGCACACCAGTTGAAAATATCTAAAGACACATGGGTAGTAAGTGAGAGAGCAGTAATTCATCCTAAATCTACTTAAGCCAAAGTCCATCCTCATTCTTTTATGCTTCACTTTTTCTGTGAAAGCCGTTTGCAATCCAATGATGATATTTTTACTGTGTTATCCCCATCATTGTCACCAAAACGTGTAACTTCTTCTAAGTATAAATCCAACAAACTTATTGCTACTAAATTTCCGAACTTAAAAGTTGATTTTCATCTACCTTTATATTTTCCTCTACAGTTGTCAGATGAAACATGGAATCCACATTTATATCTACCTTCTGTCTTCACTTAATGTCAGTGAGGAAGTAACTTTTATTGTGTCAAAGAAAAACAACCTGTTTTGAGCTTAGAATCTCTGCCATGAGCTTCCACAGCCCTCCATGAACTCTTAAACATCACTCCCAAAACTTTTTATTGCAATGAACTGTATTTGTCCATCTCTTCAATAGACAATGAGTTCTTCAGGGCAGGAAGAAGGTTATTTATTTCTCCAGGGAATTAGTGCCAGATGTGATATGACAGTCTTCAAAAAATGTTGAATAAATTGGGGCATTGAAAGAATTCTTTTCAAAATATACAACCATGATCTTTTTGTGGATTTCAGTTCCCCAACATATTGTTAGAGAATTTTTACAAGTGCTTTACTTTTTAATATCAAAAATCCTTTTAAATGGAGATGGTTAATTAGTAAAATGAGTCCTTAATATATTTCAGTTTTTTATTTGAAATATATATATTTTTAAATTTATGGAGGTATGAAATGAAATAAATATTAATGAGTTTCTAAGATTGACCCAGAGGAAAATGTCTCCAGTGGAATAACAGAGATTACATGTAACTCTACTCATAATTATTTTTATTTAATTTCAAATATCTTTGATTGAATATAACCACTTCCTAAAATGTTCACAAAGTTTTGTTTTTATTGATTTCAGAGAAAAGGAAGGAGGAGAGGTAGAAATATCAATGATGAGAATCATCTATAGGCTGCCCTCTGCAAGCCCCCTACTAGGGGTTGAGCCCAAAACCTGGGCATGTGCCCTGATGAAAATCAAACTGTGACCTCTTGGTTCATGGGTCCACACTCAACCACTGAGCCACTCCCACTGGGCCATACTGTGCTCTTTACCTGCACTGTCTATGGCCATTCTCACCACCTCCTCTGAGGCATTTGTACCTTTAGTAGCTCACAGTCACAGAAACCGAAGCTTAGTGAAGAGGTTACACAAAGAGGTTAGCTCAAGGTCACAGAGCCAGTAAATGGCGGGGTCAGGATTTAAAACCATGCTGACTCTAATTATAAATCTCACCCTTTTATGAAATGGGATTGGAGGATGGCTGGTATTAAAGATGGCCATAAATATGAATACAAATATTAGTGTCCCACCTTCTATGGGCTCCTGCAAACAGATCACCTTTTTTTTGAAATTCTAATTCCTATTTGAAATCCCCAATGGGAGATCACCAGGAAACACCAGCGGGACTACTTTTGTTAAGTGAGCACTGTCTTCAGGAATACATTGCTTTGGTAAATCAAAGATGTTCTTCTCATTAATCATCACCAGAGCACTTACTGCCCTCATCCCTGTGTGGCACCATCCTTCTCTGCTGCAGCTAACAACTCCTTTCTAAGAGGAGTCAGTGGCCCCATGAGGTGGGATGGGAAGGCAGGCCACCTATTCACTAAACCTCTTTCTGCTTCCTCCCAGGTGCACAGCTGGCTCACTTTTGCCAGCCCTCACTGCAGTTAG